TATCCCATATCCCACATCCCATATCCCACATCCCACATCCCATATCCCACATCCCACATCCCATATCCCATATCCCATATCCCATATCCCATATCCCATATCCCATATCCCACATCCCACATCCCACATCCCACATCCCACATCCCACATCCCATATCACATATCCCACATCCCATATCCCATATCCCATATCTCATATCCCATATCCATTATCCCATATCCCATATTATCCCATATTATCCCATATTATCCCATATTATCCCATATCTGTTGTGGACATATCCTGTATCCCATATCCCATATCCCTGTTCCTTGTTCCACTTTCTGGCCAAAGGACATAATGGGTACCAGACTATCCCATCCCATATTCCATATTCCATATTCCATATTCCATATTCCATATTCCATATTCCATATTCCATATTCCATATTTATTCCATATTCCATATTCCATATTCCATATTCCATATTCCTGTTCAATTTTCTGACCAAAAGACAGGATGGGTACCAGACTGTCCCATCCCATATTCCATATCCCACATCCCACATCCCACATCCCACATCCCACATCCCACATCCCATATCCCTGTTCCTTGTTTCACTTTCTGACCAGAAGACAGGATGGGTACCAGAGTATCCCATCCCATATTCCATATTCCATATTCCATATTCCATATTCCATATTCCATATTCCATATTCCATATTCCATATTCCATATCCCTGTTCCTTGTTCCACTTTCTGGCCAAAGGACATGATGTGTACCAGACTATCCCAGCCCATTTCTGTGTTCACCCCAGCTGGGCAAGGGATGCATTAGTTACAAACCTGTCCCATTTCCCATTTCCCATTTCCCATTTATTTCCCATTTCCCATTTCCCATTTCCCATTTCCCCATGCCCCAGCTGGCCAGCGTGTACCAACCTGTGCCACCCCATGTCCCAGTTCCCTGCCCCCAGGGCTGGCTAGGGGGACACTGGCTGCCAAACTGTCCCATCCCACACGCCAGTGCCCTGTCCCCCAGCTGGCCAAGGAACTCTCTGTGTACCAACCTGTCCCTGCCAGCCTCGCCACCTCTCTTCCCCAATAAAGGCCCCATTGTTCCCTGACAAAGCCTGAACAGTGCAGCCTGCTCCACCTTCCCCGGCCAGTCCTCCCACTCTGCTCTCAGTTTTCCTCCCTCAGCTGGTCGCTGTGTTTAGGGGACACAGTCTGCTGCCACCCTGTCCCCACCCCCAGGACGTGGCAGGAGGGGGAATCGTGGCAAAGCACAGCCACAATCTGCACTGTGGAGCACACGGCCTTGGCTCTGTGCCCTCCTGCTTGTCCCTCCTTCCCTCTCAGCTCCCTGAGGGTGTTCCTGGAATGGACACCCAGCCTCAGCTTCCTGGAAACCCTTTACTGACAGTAAAAGAATCAGTAAATCAATCTGGGCATGGCTGCTGCTCCTCCTGAACGAGCTGCTCCACCTGTCTCAAGCCCACCTCCTCCATCCCAGCTCCTTGTCTCTGGGTCTTTTATCCCAGCTTTAATCCACAGGATTTTCTGGATCTGAAAAAGCAGGCAGAGTGGAATTAAAAGCCAAGAACCTGGCAGGCCACCCCAGTCTTGAGCTGTTTCAGTAAGAGAAGAAATCAAAATTATTCTGAAGGCTGCAGCGAGGTGGGCAAAGCCCCAGAGAAACCTCGGCAGGTGACGTGGAGGTGTGACAAGGTACATTTGTACAGTCCCAGGGAAGCTTTTTTGTCTCATCCTGGGAGGTTTTCAAGCCCTGAATGGACCAGGCAAGGTTCACCAGCAGCAGGATGGCTTGGAGAGCTCCTGGGATCCTTTCCACCCGGAATTATCCAGCCATGGAGTTTTTTGCAAGCCACACTGGATATCCACCAGCATTGCCTGGCCAAAGTCCTCATCCTCAGGGGGATTTTCCCCCCTTTTTCCTCATCTGCTCTCAGAGCCCTGGGTTTGGATCCAGGCTGGCACCCTCCAGGATGCACCTGAGGGCAGACAGGAAGGATTTTCCATGACCTGCCTTATCTGTCCCCATCATCCCAAGGGACAGCAGGACAGGATGGCTTCAAGCTCAGCCCAAACTGCCATCCCAGATCCTGTGAGTCCACCTGGAAGGGTTCAAACATGGTCTCCTCTGTGACCCTTGTGACTGCCCCCAGAAAATACTCAGGGCCAGCTGTGTCATTGTCCCCTGTGAGGGACATTGTCCCCTGGTGGCACAGGGAAAACTCCCTGGATGCCCTCAGCACAGGGCAGTTTGATGGAGCAGCCTCAGCATCCCTGAGGGTCTGGGATGCCCCATACCATGGGCTGGACTGCCTGGGGTCAGCCCAGCCCTGCGTGCCTCAGTTTCCCCTTGTTAAGGCGCTGCCAGTGGGATCCAGGTTGAGATTTCCCCACCATGAGCAATCCATTTCCATGCACCCCATCTCTGCTCTGACCCCCTGGTGCAAACGCAGCCCAGCAGGTACATCCCATCCCTAAAAAGCAACTGGGAAGGGTCCCACCAGCTCAGCCCATGCACTAATACACTGAAAATCCCTTGGAAAGGTGGCTGGAGATGAGGTGACGCCAGCTGAGCCTGAGGGACTGCCCAGCACATGGGATATGTGGAAGCTCCTGGTCACCACTGAAAGTGTCCCTGCACAGAGCTACACCCCTTGCCTGCCATCCTCACACACCCCACACCCCAAATCTCGGCCATCCCACTGTGAACCCCTGCTCCAGCCCAGCTCCGTGGCCCCAAATGCCAGGGGCACCCCTCTCTTTGTCACCAGACCCCCCTGCGGACGGGATGTCGCAGGGGAGGGACCCAATCCTGCCCTTTGGGGTGAGCCATCACCCCCAGAGCGGTCCCAAGGAGCCGGCCCCACCAGCCCTACCTGGCTCTGCCATCCCCAAACTTCTCCCAAAGCCGCAGGAAGGACAAGGAGGAGACCGGCCACCGGCTGCCACCATCAACCCGGCCGTGATTTATCATTAACTCGCCCCGAGGAATTTCTTTTTGGGCGCGGAGCCAGACAGAGAAGTGCTCGCTCCTCCCTTGGAGCAAACCCCCGTGGTGGGTGCCTTGTCCCCACCGCCGGAATTAGCGCTGCCAAACCGGAGCGATCCCCTAAAATCCGCTGGGGTGCAAGGTCTCGGTGCTGGGGAGGGTCCCAGCTGCATCCAGGGGGGGTTTAGAGAGGGGAAAATCGCAGTTTTGCCCACCCAGCTCCGCTCACCCCATCTCTGATCCCCACGGAGTGTCCCACCCCCCCCCACCCAAAAAAAAAAAAAAAAATTAAATCACCTGCAAAACGTCCCAGCAGCTCAGCCCTGCACTAATCCACCGCAAACTCTTCCCGGTCCCAAACAAAGACACCCAGCGAGAGGGGGAAGGAAAGGGGGAAAAAATAAAAACATCCCACAAAAACCTGACACCCACCGGGATTTACCTGGGCAGCCCAGGGGTGCATCCCGCAGCTCCCCATCCTCCGCCGACCGCCAAATTCATCCTTTCCCTGCGTGGTATCCCGGGAAAAAAAATCCAAAATAATACCTGAGGAGAGCAACCTGCTGCTGGGCTGGGGCCAAGGGCTGCCCTTCGCTCGGTGGGATTGGCCACGGAGCCCGCAGGAGCTTAACCCTTTGTGCCCAAAGTGG